TAAACGGGTAGATAGTCAATGCTCTCAATTGTACAAAAATGATAGAAAATCAGACAATTCATTCAAATTTTAGAGAGATATGATTGAAAATGTGTAGGCATACGGATGATTTAAGTTTAGGTAATGTTTTGATTGCAGATAATGTTGTTTTTCATATAACAGCTGTTGTTAGCAAATTCAGAAATTACAAGTATAATTCATTGAAAACTAATTCATTTACTCTCATGTATTTGTTCATTGTGCCGTTAATAATCCATTAGCGAATGGCACCAGTCTATTATTGGCAACCGCCAATCATATTTTAGTCTTAATTTGCACAAAAAGAGGGCAGCATTATCTAGTGTCAATTGTCTTGTGCATTCTAATTTTTACAAGAAAACACATTAAAGGGCCATCACATTATGATCGATCATATAACAATCAATTCGTTTACAGCATCTAAGCGGTTCATATAGGCCTCAGAACTACAGATACAGTTAAACCAGACTATAAAACATTTTTTTGCTGAGAAAAATCATTCAGTGTTGGTAGGTGTTCACTACAGAGAGGGTAATTTTTACAAACGTCAGTAGAGGAAAGGTGTCCACTAGAGAGGGGTGTTCACTTGGAGATGTGAACTAATACAAATTAAAAATTGGTCTTTCCGATTCCTTACCATGGGAGCAATAATAGCTTAGCAAATATAGCCTTGTCGTCAAAATTCCTATTATCTGGAACTTGCATTTCAAAATTCTCATTCCTGGGATGAAATAAAATGTAAAAATCTCACTCCCTAAAACAATACTGCCGGTCAAATTCCTGACCCTCCCTGCATTGAGGGGGGTCAACATCTCAAGCAAGCCTTTGAATGATGCATAAATGTTTCAATGCACGTATTAAGAACTGATACTGTACATGAATACCAAAAACTGCATATAAAGATGGCAGCACCTCCTTGATAGGGATATCTCGGCTATCTCAAGTGGATGAGGTATTCTTTTGGAGCCAACAAGAAGTTCTAAAACTCAAGCCCAATGTCCTGTTTACAGGTTTAAGAACCCCATTTCTTACATATTACTATTAATATTACCTATCGATATTCTACTTGTTGAGACTCAATCAATTTGAGTTTTTCCGGGATAATGAGGATTTCAGAAAGGGTGTATTGACTAACATGGGGATACACAATTAATTGACTTAACATAGGGATATCATCAGGGGGATAGAGAAAAATCCTCATTTTCTCAGAAGGACTCAGTTGATTGAGTCTCTACAAGTAGATCCATGTGGGATAGTATTCAAGGTAGTATCAATAGTAAGAATAGGGGTTCTAAACAGGACACAATCTGAGCACACCCAGTTAAACACTAATATTGAATAAAAATCACATTATTTTTGTAATAATTATAATCAAATAATAATTTATTGGTCTATTTACATTTATATTCTACACAACTGTTAACTATATATTTGTGGGCTTGATCAGCTTCTCGCTTCTTGGATCAAATAATAATTTGCCTATTTGCAAAATATCTTGGGGTCATCTTTCGAAATACAAATATAGTGGAAAATGTGAATACTACCTTTTCTGCATTTCATAAAAACTAAAAAATCTTTGAACTTAATGATTCATTAGCAGCAGGCAACAGGCGATTTTTACCGGTTGTTTTCACAAAATCGCCTGTTGTTTTTAGGGACTTTCCAATTTTTCCATGTTAAAGGACGATTCTCGGTTTGGAGAACGAAGTTCATCAATCTAAATGAGCATTATCCCTGCTTCGGACAAATTTGATTGTTTTACATAATAAAGATTTGAATGTCTTCTTTTGAATAGTCATAATTTAATTTGGGTAATATTTCTAGATTTTTCGGAAAAAAAATATTAGCGCAGTACACTGATGAACTTCTTTCCCCAAATCGAGACTTGTATTTTATTGAATCGGTCTAATTGAGCATCATCCCTGCTTCAGACCAATTTGTTATTTTTACATCTTGTAGATTTAAATCTCCTCTTTTGAATATTCATAGTTTAATTTGGGTAATATTTCTATATTTTTCATGAAAAAAATTATTAGCCCAGGAGACTGTTCTCCAAACCGAGAATCGTCCTTAATGATTTCCATTAATTTACCTGTTGTTTTCATTTATTTAGGCTGATGTGAGAAATTCTAGTGAAACCCCTGTAATGGGTTCCTAATATATTCAAGTTTTACCATTACTTGAAGTCACAATCATAGCTCTCTTTGGAATAAGGAGCATTTATGTTTAACATCAGTAAAACATCAAAACATCTGTATAATCTGAACATATCACAATGTGAAGACTTTTATTTATTTCTCTGTTCATATTTTATGTAATAATCTCCCATTGACTTCCATGTTAAAAGAACATTGAACACATGCTACTCAGAACACTTAAGGTTGGTTTCTATTGTGTTCCAATTAGACAGGTTTTAGTGAACATGGATATGTGTTCGCAAGAAGGGATATGGGAGGGGTTACTACGGATACCCCCATGCTCAAAATCATTGCAAAATCATGCCCATTTCATGACTTTGAGCAAATATTTATGACTACAGTATTCAATCTTGTTTTGATAATTTTTTTGAAGAATTGCACTACCCTTTTAAAAAACAGGACCCCTACGAGAAACATCAAGTTAGTTGCCCCCTCATCAACTAACACTTGAGAAATATATATTTGGCTAGATGCATGACTACTCTTTCACATTAATACAGTAAATAGTATCTACTTTAAGTACATTAAATCCAATGTTATCTTGCCTTTACTTCTACATACAGACATATATCGATACATTACCATAATGACATAATAAGGCATTAACATGCAAAATGTCACCACTTGCCATTTGTTACAGATGCCGACTGCCAAATGCAAACTGTCAAACACTGTCCACAAAAAGTTGGAGACTACAACAATATGTCACCACTTGTGATGCTGACATAACCAACCATACATGAACCGTAACAAACATCATTCCGTATGAGATTTCAAAATTTGTTCCAGCTTTATGTCTTTGTAATTCTCTTATATTATTTATAATATGATCCAATGTAATATTGCAAATTTATAAAATTGCATTGTTTTGTCTCTGTGGGTTTATTAAATATTCATCTACAGTCTATAACTAACTTCAACTACCAAGGTGGATTGGCAGCCAGAATGCAACATCGATATTTTCCAACAAAGCTAGCATCATCATTGTCTGGGTATAAATTCACAATCAGTAATCAAAATATTTGAACTAATATATCTTGATATTTTTTTAAGTAATAAGACCAAAACTCGCGATTCAAATCCTGAAGGGAGAGATTGAGAAATAGCGACTGTTTAAATTTTGAATTTTGTACATGGCAATGATGCCCATATATGGCAGAATATCGGAATTGCATTCTGGGAACCAATCCTCCTTGTTCAACTACCAAGGTGGATTGGCAGCCAGAATGCAACATCGATATTTTCCAACAAAGCTAGCGTCATCATTGTCTTGGTATAAATTCACAATCAGTAATCAAAAGATTTGAACTTATATATCTTGATATTTTTTTAAGTAATAAGACCAAAACTCACGATTCAAATTTTGAAGTGAGAAAGATTGAGAAATGGCGACTAAATTTTGAATTTTGTACACAGCAATGATTCCCATATATGGCAGAATATCGGAATTGCATTCTGGGAGCCAATCCTCCTTGTTCAACTACCAAGTACAGTAACTAAAATGGTTCCACTAAAAGGTCCCATATTGCTAATACACAAATGGCACAATATGAGGAATGCTTTGATTTGATCTGGGGGCCATTTTTCAAAAAATATTGTAGAATTACAATTCATGAATTATTTTGACAAATAGCAAGAAACACAGGGAGACATCACCCCTTTTTATCACAAAATGCAAATTAGCCAAAATAAAGAATCATTCTCAGTTTGGAGAATGAAGTTCATTGGCTCATTTCGACATTGTCAATGTCGCCAACAATTTTGATTTTTTTACATAGTGTAGATTAAAATGTGATGTTTTGAATATTTAAGATTTAATTATGGTAATATTTTTATTTCATAAAACAAATATTGAGGAAAATGTTGGCGACATTGATGACATCGAAATAAGCCGATGAACTTCATTCTCCTGGTCCTTTATGAACTTCTCCAAACCGAGAATGGTCCTTTATCAAACATGCCCAAAATCTGTAAAAATTGAACAGGTAGGAATTTTGTTGACAAGATTTTTGAGACACCCTCCCACCCACATGACAACCCAGAAGCACAAGAGAAGACAATTAATATATCACATTGAAAACGTGCGATACATTTTTTGCAACAGATGAGATAAAGTAAATCCCTCCCTCCAAACTTGCAGAATGAAGAGTCTAAGAATGTGCAAGAAATTTAAATATTTCCAATAAATCTCCATGCATAGTAAATGTACAATTATTTATGAAATAGGCCCCTGGAAGATTCTTATTTCAACACGCTGTGATTTTTTATTAGTTTAAATAACAAATATACAGATATTTAATATAATATTATGTTTGTTAACATTATAATTGATCTTTTTATCTGATACAAGCCAAAACTGACTTACAAGTCAAGCTTTTATGAGCTACAACAAAATTCAAACTACTGTATGACATAAAATTTTATCTGGGATAAAATGGCCTCCATTACTAATATGGTGGACACTGAGGATTATGGGACTAATGAATTATGCCCTTGGAATTATGGGACATATTGGCCTCCACTTCTGAGACATGCAAATTTCCTGTTGGTCATGAAGAGTTGACAAAATGTTCCTAATTGTGAGGCCAAATTTTAACTTTCATTTGGTTAAAGACCCGGCTCAATGGATTATGAATCAATTTATTTGTGGCCTAGGCTATACATCCTCCGAGTGAAGGGCTCCAAAATCCAGAATAACTTCTTTCTTTTTCCAAGGAGGTATGGATTCTGGACACCTGCTTAGGAGGATGAGGCTATATAGATGTATCATATGCACTGTATAAGATATGGAGTCAGGCTATATTCCAGAACAGGAAATCAGGTTCGTTCATTACGTAATATTTGAGAACACACTGACCCTGAGGCCCAGAGGGGTAGTGATTAAACTTCAATTTGGCCCTGTTGTTATTTTAACATTTGAATATCCGATCTGAAGAATGTGACCCCAACAGAGCCTGAGTCAACCTGGCTCATGCACATAGCCAAGATTTGCCAAGGGGGCTCACTTTTCACTCGAACCCCCTGAACCCCCAACCCTGGCTATGGGCCTGTGGCCTGTATTCAACCTACATGCATTTGTATTTCTATGGATTATGCTACCTTGATTTGACTCCTATTAAAATAATTAACATAACTATGATCACAACAGCTAGTACAACTATGACTAGCATTTTCCTATTTTTCTTTTGATATTTTTCAGCTTTTTGTAATTGTTGTAGTCCCTTTTCCACAGTAGTAGCTGTACTTTCTATATTATAGTCTATACGATCTAATATTGTTCCCTGGAAACAGAAATAACTTAAAGTTTATAATTACAATTAGGTATGGTATGTGTTGCATTCTAAGTTATTGATATATTTGCATGCCTTATGTTTTGAGGTGTCACGGTCCACATAAAATGTGATAGGGATGGAGATACAAATGGTCTTGGTATCAGGAATAATGGTATTTTCAGGATGGGACCATTACCATCAACTTGAAATTGCAGGTCCACTATTAACACCTTTTATATTGCTAAGAAGGGTGATCGAAAATATTATGAATATTTAGAATGAATTCTGAGGTGTTTCTCACCATTAATTATGTTTTTATGCATTTTTAGGTAGGAATATATGTCCGGATATTAATCCTTTCTGTCCCAAACTGAATCATCTTGACCAAAATATAGTCAAAAACTGGGAAACTGTGACATCTCTATCTATGCATAGGATAAATTCAAAATCAAATTACATTAGCCTTTAATCTCTATATACAATGCACTTATTTACTTTCATCATCATGCTTATTCCACTTAATTTTTCTCTAAAATTTGACTGAACTGTTTCATTTTCTGGAATTTCTTTACAATTCAAAGCACTGACTTTTTGCCTATTTACTTTATTTCTCACAAATTCCATGCTTTTCCACTCTAATTTGCATTCTAAAACATATACCCTTGCGACGATTAACTCTCACCTGGTCGACTATCATAGAAGCCATATCTCGGAAAATGTCATTTAGTTCAGTGATGGATTTCACCACATTGTTTATTTCTTGTTCTCGTTGCTGTATAAGTTGTGTGTTATCATCCACTTCTTGTAGTTGCACCTCCGTAAAACCCTAATGAAATAGTAAAGCAACAGACAATCATTTTAAATCTATTTTAAAACCCTTGAAAGCAATATATATGATATAGCTATCAAGAAAATGTGTTGTGGTTACAATATAAAGAACACAAAAATAATGACACCACTGGGTTTCAAATTGTAATTTTAAACGTCCATGCTTTATGCCCTATATACAAGTATGTAAAGTATCAACTAAATCACTTTAGACTTGTAGTACTACTTTTCCAGCTCCAGCAGGAAACACCATTTTGAAACTGGCAGCCATTTTGAAATCCTGCTTTCTAACAAAACTTGTACTTCCCACTCACATGGGGCACATGCGTATCGAATATCAGACAGAGGGTATTTGAGTTATTGCCCAGATGGAAGGACAGAAAGACAGATGGACCAAAAGTCATTATTCATTCTTGTTTTTCTGACTATACCTAACTCTTCACGGTGTGTTACACATACCCTGTCAAACAGTGTTTCCTCAGGACCATCATCCAACCCTGACGTCCCCATGGAATTCCCAGGCAGGTCAAAATACTGCTTAGATCTTTCCTCACGGCCTTTTAATCCTGTAAACATAGAAGATTTGATGGAAATAGTCCATATGAACACAGACTTAGAGAAAGTTCTGTGAGACTGTGATATGATTACATTTGTATATAGAATAAAACTTCATAACCGATTACATGTACTTATTTATCAATTCTTTTCATTTAGGTAGCATGTCAAAAGAAAAATGTTGTCAAATAACCTATATATATATATATATTATTATAATAGGGGGGGGGGTGTCTGAAACCCGAAAATAAGCTTCCCCGACATTGATCCTCGTGGAATTGCATCAGTCATTTTTCATCCCACAATTCTCTTTACACGCCTCCAAATTGAAAATATTTCAGAGTTTTCCAAATTTTGACTTCTTTTTCACTATTATGGCACAGCCAATATATAAAACCCCGTCTGATGAATATGAAAGACTCATCAACAAGGGTGTTTGATGATTTACTTTTTTTTTAAATCATACGTGTCAACATTTTCCATATCTAGTTAAGAGGGGGAGGGGGGGTGTCTGGGACCTAACTGATAATATATAGCTTTTTGTGCTACATTGAACTTTTGACATGCTCCCTTACATACCTAAAAAATAAAATTGGCTTCATATTTATCTTTAAATTTGATACTTACTCTCAGATTCCATATAAATATACACTTTGGTTGTGATAATCAGCAAGAGAGAGAATAAAATTTACATAGTACCCTGCACAAAAATTTGAGACTACATTTTTTCTCTTATTTTTACACTTTAATTAATTATCTTCAAACTGGGTGAAACTTTATGTATTTATATTTAATCATTTGTTTCAACCATAGTGTAGCAAGACTTAAGTTGCGTATCATTTTCAACATTGCTACATAATATATTTTTTACCCAAATTTTTTAGAAAAATAATGTAACTTAGGCAATATTCAAGACGTCCATCAACAATACAGAAGCGAAGGACTAAAACGTGATATAATTTGCAACTTGACTTATTAAGAAAGTTTAAATCAAGAAAACAAAAATCTTACTGAACTCGAACATAGGCAGTTCCACCATTTTGTTAAATTGTACCTGTTACTTCAAAGTAACTACATGGAGTTGAGAAACAGTAATATATTTGTATAGAACACTGTACTTACTCCGTAAATACGCTGATTGGCTTTTTCTAAAGTTTGTAGAGAGTTCTTGTAAAGTCCTAGCTAATGAGGACACAATATTTTGTGATAGTTTTCTTTCTTGTGTTGTACCCTGGTTTGATCTAGAGTTTATCTTCTGGACTAGTCTTTGGCATCTCATGAACATCTGAAGTACAAAATTATCATGAGTCTGTTTTCTGGACTAGTCTTTTGGCATCTCATGAACATCTTAAATTCAAACATATCGAGAGCATTATCTTCTGAACTAGTCTTTGGCATCTCATGAACATCTGAAGTACAAAATTATTAAGAGTCTATTTTCTGGAGTCTTTGGCATCTCATGAACATCTGAACTACAAAATTATCAAGAGTCTGTTTTCTGAACTAGTCTTTGGCATCTCATGAACATCTGAAGTACAAAATTATCAAGAGTCTATTTTCTGGAGTCTTTGAAATCTCATGAACATCTGAAATACAAAATTATCAAGAGTCTGTTTTCTGAACTAGTCTTTGGCATCTCATGAACATCTGAAGTACAAAATTATCAAGAGTCTATTTTCTGGAGTCTTTGGCATCTCATGAACATCTGAAATACAAAATTATCAAGAGTCTGTTTTTTGAACTAGTCTTTGGCATCTCATGAACATCTGAAGTACAAAATTATCAAGAGTCTGTTTTCTGGACTAGTCTTTGGCATCTCATGAACATCTTGAATTCAATTTTCTAGAGCACCTAAATTATTTCATCCTAGATTAGTGATAGATTAGGAGGAATTAAACCCTTTGTCTCCTAGTATTCAAGAGTCTTAAAGCAAATTCACCAAAGCAGAAGATACACAGTTCGATGTCAGGGGTACTAAATTGATTACATAAACGTGAAAAAAACATGTGATTTTAAAATGATTTATAACTGCTTCACAAAGCCTCGGTATATAAGAGCAGCATATTGTGTTGGATTGGTTATTATTAGTTCTGGTTAGCAACTCTACTTGTAGTAGTAGTAGTACAGTATAGTTTGAAAATGAGATACAATAATGTCTGGATGATTCTCTATGTGAGTTTAGCGACCATGATGATAACAACTTCAGAGCTGAGTGTCAATGATACTACAAACTACAGCAGAGCTGATGATATGACCCACACTGGTCAAGATGTTGAAACTCAGCATCAAAAAGTTCCTCCAGAACTGATAAATGCAACTCATGAGTCAACTGAATTTCTGGTGAGTCAACCAATTTTCTCTGATGTTTTTCAAATCAATGATCCTGCATCGAACAAAACACAACTTGATCACATGACAACGACTGGTCCTGGTTTTGCAACAACTGGTCCTGATTTTGCAACAACTGGTCCTGATTTTGCAACAACTGGTTCTGATTTTGCAACAACTGGTCCTGGTTTGGTGTTGAGAGATGAGTGTCAAGCTGATGAGAATAACATTCAAATCTGTTCACTAGATGACCCCGAAGAACGTCTTAAGAAATCATGTGACGGCAGATGTGGGGAATTAAAGCAAGAACTTTTCTGTCAATGTGACTCCGAGTGCTCCAAATATGGAGACTGTTGTCTTGACTACACCACAATATGTGATCGAGATGGGTTTAACGATCTAAGAAAAAGTAATAAGGAATTCTACGAATGTGCAGAAGTTTCTGACAGCGAAGATACCGAATCTACCATAATGGTCTATATGATTGTCAAATGCCCTTCAAACCAAAACAATTCCAAACTGATTAAAGAATGCCAGGCACGTGATGGAATTCTCAATCTCATACCAGTCATCGATTTCTTCTCCGGGGAAAATTATAGAAACAAGTACTGTGCAATATGTCATGGAGTTACTGCATTTGTGCAATGGAATGTCTCAATTGGTTGCGAATCCGATGAAATCAGCCCGGAAAAGTTCCTGCATGCTGGCATTGATCTTTTACTTGATCTAGTCAATAACTCTGCTTGTACCATTGACATAACTGCCCCAGTAAATGCCCGACATTGTATGAAAATGCAGTACAATTGTGACTCTCAGTGCAAGGATTCAAGAATATCAGAAAAGTGTGCCACAGCTGGTCAAAATCCTATAACTTATAAATTTTTTCCCAATCCATTCTACAACATTTATTGCCTACATTGTTTCTTTAATCTAAGTGCAGTGCGCAGGGACTATGTAAAGTGCATGACTGCTCCTGCACGTAATACTGAACCAAAAACTATCAATCTTTTTAGTCTTGCAATAGTGGTAGAAATGGCACCATCTGATACATACGGAATAAAAATAGAGGCAGATGGGCTTTTTGGACTGGATAATCTTCAATTTCAATGCGATGAAAACCAACATCAATGTGTTGCAAGTGAATGCCCGACCCATCACACAAAACTGGGCTCTAGGTGTTCAATCGTAGACAATGTCATTGTCCAAGTGATCCTTGTGTGTATGCTGAACTACAATAGTTCCTATACTGACAAGATTTATAAAGATAACAATAACAACAATAAAAATAATGTTTTGAAGGGTATTATTGAAGAAAATTTCAATCCTGTTGGCTACATCTATAAAGAATATAGTCATTGGGATAGTTTTATTTCCACTTACAAAGAAAAATTTAAATTCAACATTACTGCCCCAAGCGACGTCATGGTTGCTTCTCTAGAAATGGGCTTACTAAAGCAGCGGGACAGTTTGATAGCTCAACTAGAACAATTTTACACAAAAGTAAGTGTAGACATGACATACGAGGTCATCAAACTTGGCTCTAATGACATGATCACCCAAGCTGTAGCCAGTGATCAAAATCATCTCCAAGCGTGTTGGGTAATATTAGTCACCTTTTTAACATTTAGAGTAATTTTTGTGTATGATGCTGGACTCATGTACTAGACCATAAGGAAACTAGAAAACAGCAACTCCAAACAAGTTGGGAATATAAGTCACCTTTTTAACATCCAGAGTAATTATTGTGTATAATGCTGGATCAGAGTGGACACATACACTAGACCATAAAAATAGAAAACAGCAACTCCACGGAGTAGCAAAACCCACAGAAAAAGCATATTTTGATAAATAGACACCATCTTGAAAATTTCTTGAACAGAGCTTCTTTGTCCCTTATAGGTATCAGGATTTAAAATCTGAAGAAAATCCATCCACTGGTATTTGGGTTATCAATTATTACGTTTTTTTACAAAAATGGCAGCCTTTTTGAAATTCAGCTACCATCTTGAAAATTTCTTATTGAGCAGAGCTCCTTTATCCCTAGGCATCAGCATATAAAATTTGAGTAAAAGAGTAAATCTGTTGTTTGTTTTCTTTTTTGAAAGAGAATGAATGAGTATATTTATAATTTTGTAACATTGACAATGGCTACAACAAAATCACTTATTTTCTGTATTGCGATGTAAATAGATAATAACAATAAAAACTTTTAAAGACTGTCTAATATTGTTTCAGTTAAGAGGAGATTTTTCTACAACCCAGGTGAAACCGTCTTCATGGTATTTTCTGAAATCTCACAAAACCTCTACTATAATTTAGTATATATAATATCTCTTTGAATTTCAGCAAAATTTTCACTTCAATTATTTCCATTGCCATAGCAATCAATTTTATTAAAAAAATTTCACTAAAAATCAAACCTAAAATGTTTTCAAAAGCTGTAAAATCTGCATTTTTCATAGTTGATTTTTTATGTTGCTTTAAAGGAAAGAATATGATTTGTGACATACATCAAGGTAAGGTAATGTTGTTTTGTATTTTTTTGTATTGTATGACATGACATCTTTCCTTATTAAAGGTGTGTGGTTGCCATGGCAACCATTACAAAAATTCAGCCTAAAATCATACCATTTGCATCGTATTACAATATTAATTACTCCCACATGAGACCATACAGGGTGTCCAATAAATAAGGTGAAAGATATTGTAACTTTCTTAATATTGCACCAATCTTGATGAAATTTTCAGAGTTTGTAGCCCAAGCCTTTTACCTTTATTCTGTGAATTTAAAGCGTCTTCTGTTTGATTGGCCAGAGTTGTGGTTGCTATAGCAACGGAAACAACAAAACGGCGGGGCAAGTTTGTTTTTGTCACAACTTCTCAAAATATATTTATTCTTTCTGCTAGCTTTATTCATACTCCCAGGTCTATTACTACCACAGATACAATATTAAAACAGTCCTAAAGTCCCATTGTTATGAAAATAAGCTATTCAACATAATGTCCATCTCTAGCTATACAGTTCTTATGGCTCTTCACCCACTCTTAATCAGTGCTTCCAAATTTATTTCCTCTCAAGTCAAGCTTGAGTTCTGCATATAAGTAAAAGTCATCGGGTGCCAGATCTGGGATATATGGAGAGTGCAAGTAGGGGTAGCCCCAGTGCCCTAATAGTTTTACTGGTGAGCATAGCTGTGTGTGAACTCAGATCACGTGTCTTAGCAAGACTTCAGGTAATGGGGAAGAATGGGTTTGAAAGTGTGTTTAGAGAATGGGTGAATAGGCATAAGAAGTGTATAGCTAGAGATGAACATTATGTTGAATAGCTTATTTTCATAACAATGGGACTTTAGGACTGCTTTTATCTTATAATTGTGGTAGTAATAGACCTGGGAGTATGAATAAAGCTATCAGAAAGAATAAATATGTTTTGGAAAGTTGTGACGTAAACAAACTTGCCCTGCCTTTTTGTTGTTTCGGCTGCTATAGCAACCACAACTCTGTCCAATCAAATAGAAGACGCTATAAATTCACAGAATAAAGGTAAAATGGTTTGGGCTACAAACTCTGAAAATTTCATCAAGATGGGTGCAATATTAAGAAAGTTACAATATCTTTCACCTTATTTATTGGACACGCTGTATATCCCTTAATTTTAACACATTTTACTTTTTTTCATAAAGCTGTTGCCATGGTTACAAGTATAGTGATATAATTTGATTATAGTGATTATTTTGTCATTTTTAAAAGTCACATTGTTTGGACTTTATGAATAAAGTGTTTCAGATCCAAAACAAAGTTTCACATGAAGAGATCTTACATGGGCCACCACACGACTCTTAGAAAAATCCTCTCTTGACACAATCTCTTTCTGAAAATTTGGAATCATAAAAAATTGAATAAAATATAGAAAAAACTGTGAAAATCGAAGTTATTCCAGTATAAAAGTATATTAATGATATCATCAAGTAGAAACAAAATGTACTGGTAAGTCCATCTTAAAGTCTCGTTGAAAACAAGACTCCGATGAGATTTCAAAGCTTGATAACAAAGCCTCTTTTCTCCCAAACAATAATTGTGGATGTTCACATTTTGGCAAAATCAAAAAAATACATGTAAAGGAGGAGGGAAATTAGCGCAACAGATTTTGGACAGTCATATTTTGGATTTTGGCCATTTTCTGAGGATTTAAACAATTGCATATGTTAGGCCAATGCATTACCTCCAGGAAAATCACTTCTAGAGATGATAAAATAATTTCGACTTTGAGACAGGGTAGATGCAAAAAACCCACCCACATGTTTTTTCTGAAATGTGTTCCTAATTTTCGACCCCTTCCACCCCTGCTTTTTCAATTTTTTTTGCATCTATATGTTGCATTTTAGGGAAAATAACATGGGAAATATTGTTTTCCACTTTATCTCATCCTCCTAAGCAGGTGTCCAGAATCCGTACCTCCTTCTTCCCCCTGCTATAAGCAGTTAGCATTTTCCCGATTAAGAACTCGCAATTTGATTGGCTGTCGCAACACTGCGACAGAAATCATGTATACGTCATCGGCGCATAATAAGATCACGTGATTTAGTTTAATCGGGCGCGTCCAACTTGGTTATAGCAGGGGGTAAAAAGAAAGAAGATATTCTGGATTTTGAAGCCCTGTGATCGGAGGATGCTTTATCTAAAAGGAATCATTTATTCCTTTTAAGGGATTATCTGTGTGTCAAAATGATATTGATGCAAGAAAAATTAAAAAAGCAGGGATGGAAGGGGTTGAAAATCAGGAAAATGTGTTAGAAAAAACATGTGGGTGGGTTGTTTGCATCTACCCTGTCTCAAAGTCGAAATTATTTTATCATCTCTAGAAGTGATTTTCCTGGAGGTAATGCATTCGCCTAACATATGCACCTGTTTAAATCCCCAGGAAATGGCCAAAATCAAACATATGACTGTCCAAAATCTGTTGCACTAACTTCCCTCCTCCTTTATAACTTTTTTCTGATATAATACAATTAACATCTGAAATATGACAAGAAATAATATGAGCAAGCTCAAAAACCATTTGGAAGGGTATTTACCATCCTTCATTAAAAGGGCGTCATTCATTCCTCAAATCAAAGAAGTGAAATACTTATACACTTGAACCATGAATGGGTTTTTACTTGTCAACCTAACTCCAAGTCAACTCAACCCATTACTCATCTCACCCTTAATTAACGAACTCTGTAACTTCAATGCTTTGATGTTATATCATTTTTTAATATATGGTTTTGGTTACGACACCTCAGGTGTGAAATTCCATTTTTCGCTTAATTTTATACTTTATGATTTGGCACACGCTATGTGGTGTTGCTTGGTTCTAAGAAAAATGTTTAAAATTAGTTCTTCATTATGACTCTCTCTTATGAAATATGAAAACGAATCCAGATGAACAGTCACAATCATGTTATATGACGGTAGACAGCAATTAAAAAAACACAAAGCTGAAATTAATATCATAAAAAGGTCTAGTGCACTTTCCATTATGATTTCCCCATGAACAAAATGAATCATTTTTAGGTGTAACATAAAGAATACAATGTCACATAATACTGTGGAAAATATTTAAGCGTTTGGACCCACATGGGCTGAGGTTGAGGTCATTAAGTTCAGCAAGGGTGTATTGGCTTGACATTGGATGTGCTCCATTGACTTAACATGTGGATATCATCAGATTTCAATGAAGGCCATTGGTTTCTATTGATTTTCACAAAAATAAATACACTATGACCTGAATCGATTGCAAATTAAATAATTTCACAATATGACACAAATGGTATATCAGATCAGATGTGCAAATATAAAGTTTGCAATTCATTCATACTTCAAATTAAAAGTTTATACATTTCTTTCATCACTTTTTTCCCTACAAAATGGCTATAGAAAAATGCTTCAAAAGCAACTTTTACACTTATGAAATCCCATACAACTTTGTAAATCCAAAGATTATACTGTTATGTTTCATTAATTAATAACATGTTTGGATAAGATGTAGGGATGTGTAGGATGCAAATGGATTTTGACAGACACAAAAAGACTTCCTGGTTGGGCATCTCTACCCCTGTCCACTTTATGATTGAATATTGGTCCTAATAAGTGGCCCATTCATCAATACAGTGCTGAATATAGGTCAACAAAATACTATGTAATAATAATAAAAGCAGTTTATTTATTTTGAAAAATCAGATGAACTTACTTTTGTTCATTGGGAGATCATAATGGAGGGTGCACTAGATCCTTTATTCAATTTTTTTGTCTCTTATGTAAGCATATTGGATTAACATGACTGAGTTTCTTGGCTTGGAATCTTAGGCTAAAATCCTAGGGTTGCCATAAACTGCCTTTGAACAGCAGCTACAGGTTTTTGACAAACACCAAGGCAGATGCTAGGTGGCTGCAGGGTAAACATACTCTAACCACACATTGACAATATGGCAACTGTGTGCCCTGCAGTCTAACCCTGCAGCGTGGCCAAGGCTTGTTTCTATTTAAAGACCAGAGAAATGAAAGTTGTTACTCCATGTTATGATTTCCATGGTCTCTAATCAAAGCATTAACATGTAAAATGTCACCACCTGCCATTTGTTACAGACACTGACCACCGAACACCAATGACCAAACACTGTCCACAAAACAGTTGGAGACTATATGGCAACTGTAAGGCGACCATAGATTTTATATGGTTACCTCAGGAATTTCTCAATTTCAGGGAACTATGGTCGCCATAAGGTTGCTGTAGAGCAAATATGACACGAGACACCCAAACTCAAGTGAGTTCTGATCATAAATAGAACTTATATGAACACAAGGCATCAACATGAAAAATGTAACTACCTACCATTTGTTACAGACACCAAATGCCAACCACTAAATACCATTCAATAAAATGTTGGAGACTGTAAAAGTATGTTAGCATGAGATACGTGGACTTGAAAGTAATTGCTGTATTTTCCTAGATGAATCAGAGCCTTGGTCTTATTCAGGTAGGGGGGAGGTGGGGGGTCACATCACTTATAATTGACATTACAATCGAGAAAGGATGTCAAAGATTCTTTATACAAAACTCTATAGAATAAAGCCTCATTGAAAAAAATGAACAGGGTATTCAATTTTCTAGCTTTAAGATAGTTTTAAGAACAAGTGACATCTATGGTCAGCTGTACACTTCAGATGTAAAATCATAACTGAAATAAAAATCTGAACACATATATACAAATCTTTACAAATGGATACATATTAAAAAATATATACATATGTTAACAAATATACAGTATAGCAAAACATTAACATGCAAAATGTCACCACCTGCCATTTGTTACAGACATCAACCCCAAAACACCATCCACAAAAAAAGTTGGAGACTATAACAATATGTTATCCCTTGTGGTGGTGACATAAAAATGTTCACAAATATATAAAAATGTTCACAGATATATAAAAATGTTCACAAATGAGTAAAATGTTATTCTTGCAGCTTTGCAACTTCAATATGTTTAAACACATAGTCTTAGTAGCAGGTCCTATAAAATATGCCAAATATATGAGCAACAGTGTATTGGATAAAGGGGTTGAAAAATACAAAATAATGAAGTTTTTTTTATTAAAATCTATTTTGCAAATTTTTACTGCCGAAATGTATTTTTTGACTTGCATTTTGCAAAATTCTTAGATAGGTCATTTATTTTCAGGGAAATTTTAAGTGTAAACAAGTGAACAAGCCATTATTTTATAACAAAATAGTGTAATTAAATGCTTTATGTATCCAGAAGGATATCAAGCTGAATAGTATATTGTATTAAATGTATGTAATATTACAACTGAACAAAAAGAAAATTCAAACAACCCCTATAAACCATGCAAGTACATGTACATGTAGTGTAATTACGTTACCTGTGTGGTTTCTTGTGTCTGTATTTCTATTGCATGCTCCTCATCTATACTGTCATCAAGGGTTGGTCTATTAAGATGTTTGTCATGTAAGCTCGCCAGGTCACGCACTATAATAATTTCAATTTATAGAATTAGCTGAGTTAATATGTTAGCTTGCATTCGCGAATCTGCTGTCGGCTACCGGATTAACCTATTTTCAGAAATTGACCCGTCATTTTGAAGTTTATTTGACGAACAAACTGATAGTTGACGAGCAGTGATCCCATGATTTTTTATGCCACTGAAATGATCAAATTAGCAAACAGATTGAAGGTCATTATTAATTGCTACAAATTAACCCATTACTTAGGTCAGCGATAGCCGAAAGTTCGTGAATACAAGCTTAGATTTGTGCTCATGTTTGCAAATTGTAGCTACTGTTTTTCAGCTGCTGCACTAATATTTTATTCTTAATTACTGGGCTAATGTTTAAGAATTTGGTGCTAACCGAAGTTTGAAAAAGGCCTGAGTTTTAACTTTAAGTCATGTTTAAGAACCCCTATTCTTAGTATTGAAAACGGAATCATCCAATACTCTCCCACATGAATCTTTTTGTTGAGACTTAATCAACTTCAGTTCTTCTGAGAACATGAGGATTTTGTGTCTATCTCCATGCATGAGGACATGATGATATGCAGCTTTTAAGTCAATTGTGTATATTCAATGGCTCATGTCAATACACCCTTGCAGAAATCCTCAATAGAGAGTTTAAGCTTGCATATAAAATCGAAACACCAACCTGTACATATGACCAATCGCCCATATACAATCCAATCGCCCATACAAATGCATCACTTAAATAACTTACATTTGCGTTTAGGTTGTGAAAAACAGTGCAAGCTTAAACTCCCTCATATCACAGAAGAACTCAAGTTGATTGAGTCTCAATAAGTTAGATTCTTGTGTGATAGTATTATTAGAATCCATTTTCAATAGTTAGAAGGCATTCTTAAATGGGACATTGGGCTTGCTTTTTCAGTTTTTAGTTTTTGTTAGCTCTATAATTATCAGACACATAAGTGACTTACTTTCAGCTTACTAACTTACTTTTCAGCTTAATAGCTTACTTTTCAGCTTGATTACTTACTTCTCAGCTTATAATGACTTACTTTTCAGCTTAATCCTAGTAATCTCAAACTGTATTTCCTCTACTCCATCTATCCTGCATTGGAATAAACAATTTTTATTAATTAAAGTCAATGTAACATATGTATAGGTTCTAGTGTCTATGACCCCCAAGTGGGATTATCACACGCATGGTGTTGCATTTTGACACATAGTTAACCCCTTTAAAGGAATAAGTAATTCCTTTTAGATAAAGTGGAAAACAATGTTTCCCATATCATTTTCCCATGGGGAAAACTCTTCTATTCTATAAAACTGAAACAATCATTGTCATTAGTACTACTACTACTTTTTGCTAGATCTGAATCCATATAATCATCTTCAATATCTTGTTATATAAATAATTGAAACTAATGCATTAAACTTCGTGTTTTCTTGCTATAATATTCAACATAAAAGTCGCACGTAGGCTCATTGAAACTGTGCGCGCATTAGAGAGAATACGGAAATTCTACAGAATTTTTGGGCTTGAAATCAAATCCATTTACCATTATACATCTTTCCAACAAACATGAATAGGCTATAACAGTGATCTCTCCAGCATTAAAGCAAGTGGGTGCAGCACCCACCTGAGATTTTGATAATAGCCTCGCGTTGCACTTACCTGAAAATCCATTTGCACCCACTTGAATACGAGAAAAATCATGAAAAATGGGCATATTTTGTCTGAATTGTGCCCCCACTTGGAAAAAAATCCTGTGGAGATCGCTTTATAAGTGAACTAATATAAGCTTTAATATATGCTATTTAAAATGCTTACTTATCAATTCATTTTTAAAATAAACGGCACTCTCTTGCTTCACTTACCATTCTGGAGGTAGTCTATTGCTTTTTGAAAATCCCATTTCAAGGTCACCCGAGCTTGTAATAAGCGACGCTCTGTCATCATTTCCCTGAAAATGGATTTAATATTGTTATAAATATGGTGGTTTATTGGAGCTAGCTATTGGTTTATTGTAGTTTTCAATCTTTAAATAGTCTCAACAGGTATGTATATTCGCTGCCCAGTAAAGTGAGTTGGTGATAAATCATTCAAGTGAAATAACTTATGGAATGTGTTCTCATTTATTTGTTTGAAACAAAGATAAAGAATAAGATCTGGGATAATACATTGAGCATGATAATCCAAAAGAAACAATGACATATTATTTCAGAACCAGGGGTTTCATTAGCAGCAGGCAACAGGCGTTTGCTTTTCACTGGTTGTTTTCACAAAATCGCCTGTTGCGTTTAGGGACTTTTTCCTGTTAAATTTATGATTTCCATTAATTTTGCCTGTTGTTTTCATTTATTTAGCCTGTTGTGAAAAATACTAGTGAAACCGCTGAAGAACTAGGGAATTTGTTGTCATCCAGATTCTTTGACCAACCATATATACTCTTTCGTAGTTTTTGTAGATCCACAGTGTCTTCTATCCATTAAAATATGCTTTAGATAAGACTCTGATGAATCTGAATGGCTTTTGGCATATCAAATTAATTTGAGTAAACATTAATTCACAAAATAAACACCAAACATTTTAAAATATGAGCAAAAAAGTGAAATCTTATCATAAAGTACAAATATTGTTAAGCAGGGTTCTCACTAGGCTTTTAGACTTCGGATTGAATATATTCATGCATTTTATATTGCTACAACAACTGTCAAAATGTTTGAGATGAACGATAGAAAAACCCTTGAAGAAGAACGCTTGTGGTACCATTGCTAAGCCAATATATGCAACCCCTGGTATATGTGTAGACAATTTTTTGCCTGATAGGATGCAGTGTGTAGACAGAGTTTTTCTAAAATTTCATCTCAAAAATTTCTTGACACCCAGTTAGTCGAATAGCCTTGCCCAAGTCGGTCTCTTTTACTTATCTTGATTTCTATTATGACCGCCTTGTACCAAAGAGAAAGCCACGTGCTTTACCGACAGTTTGTTGGTGTCGGTAAAATTTGACCAATCAACGACGGCCCTGTAGCGTTAGCTCATTATTATGCAATGTCAAAAACAAGTACACTTTTCACCGGGACTTTTCACTAACAAATCTTGCACGAATATGAGCACGAATTCATCATGAAAATACAAATATTTATCAGATAAATATCAATGAGAGTTTAGTGGATGCCGGGGCATCGGGGCAATCTTCTCACATTTCAACAATTGAAACGTTGAAACGATCGCTGAACATGTAGGCTGAGATTCAATCACCGATCGACGACAACATGACCCGCTACATTGGACTAGGTCTTCGTGCATTTTCATCGCGAAATCAGTTTTAAATCAACATTGAATCGCATGATTTAATTTATATTAATGACTCTTACCTTCCAATGTACATTTAATAACATAATATATTGTATTAATGTAACTATAACGAAACACTCGATCAGATCATGGAATTTCAAGTTGTAGATGGGAAGTTTGTTTTGTTTATGCAGCCTGATAACGTTTTGATTGGTCATTCAGCCTGAAGTCACACGTCGTGTCCACGCGATATCTGTCAATCAATAAGGTTTCGCGATACCCCTGATAGCGTAGGTATTATGGAAATCTCGAAACCGTTGAATATTTCAGCATAATAACAGCGGAGATGTATTGGATTGTACAAGGCGGTAATAATTCAAGATCAGATAAGTAAAAAAATACCGACTTGGGCAAGGCTATTAGTCGAAGGGTCTCAGGTGATCGCATGGGCACAGGGTTTTAATAACATTGCCATAAGAACTGGATACAAACAAAGAATAGAAAGGCACAAACCTTTTTTGAAATGGTCATTGTGATTAAATTAATAATCTTCAGTATTTCCAATCTCTGATCTCAATGTCTCAAAGTTTGAGATGTCAAAGGTCAAACTTTGTATAAGTTTAAAGTCACCCGATTGAGGATTTGTCATGATGACACGAAAAAAACGGGTCTAAAAGTTTTCAGATGAGAACCCTGGGAAGGTAACAAAGGACGATTCTCGGTTTGGAGAACGAAGTTCATCAATATAAATGAGCATTATCCCTGCTTCGGACAAATTTGATTTTTTTACATAATATAGAGTTGAAGGTCTTCTTTTGAATGGTCATAATTTAATTTGGGTAATATTTCTAGATTTTTCGCAAAAAAATATTAGCGCAGTACACTTATGAACTTTTTTCCCCAAATCGAGACTTGTATTTTATTGAATCGGTCTAATTGATCGTTATCCCTGCTTCAGACCAATTTGTTATTTTTACATCTTGTAGATTTAAATGTCCTCTTTTGAATATTCATAGTTTAATTTGGGTAATATTTCTATATTTTTCATGAAAAAAATTATTAGCCCAGGAGACTGTTCTCCAAACCGAGAATCGTCCTTTGCAAACTTTTACCCTAGCAGCCATCTTGAAATATACTCCCTATTGTAAAAAAAAGTTGAAAACAATATTTCAATGTTGTGCTTGTATTTTCAATTTAGGTATAAAGTCTCTAAATAATGAATGAGAAATGCAGAATGCCGAACACCAACTGCGAAACACTATCCACAAAAAGATGTAAACGATAACAATATGAAATAACAATATGAAACTATAACAATCAGAAGTGGTGACATAATAAATGTGGTTCACCAAGTCGCCAACTAAAGAAAAAATTATGAGTCAGTGTTATGAAATATTTTGTGTGGCATATTTTGACCAATTTTGAACTGAAATGTGAAAATGATAATTTAGCACCCATTTAAGAAAAAATCCTGTGGAGATCACTGACAGTTATTATATTTTCTACCAGATACATGTATTCAAAGTTGGTCACCCTTATTGGAGATTTTGATTTATTTTTTATATTTTCAAAAAAATGTGATTGAACAGGCCAAGGGGGTTCACCTTTTGAAAAATTCCACTTGTGACAATTTTGTTTGAAAAATGGCCAAAATTACTTAAAAAGTGCTCAGAATGGTGTAAAACTGCATGATTATTTGAAAGATTTTTTGACCAGGGGGGGTTTGCTTCGCTCGAACCCATCGAACCCCCCTGGCTACGTACCTGTTGAAATAAATATTATAATTTCAATCATGTTTGTTTTTGGGACTAGACTACATTGGCTCATGATGTGTTGAAATAGCCCAATGGTCATAATAGCTCCATGAGGAAGTAACTACACACGTCATAGTTTGACACAGGACCCCTACATAATTAAGCTAATTGAGGTGGATTTAGATTTTTGTGTGACAAACATGTCATTTCATCATCATTATTATACACGCTTTTCCCTGATCAAAGTGCCTACTGAAATATGATACGATTGTCAGCCACAAATCATAATGCTCGACTTCTCAATAACAATTTATTGAATTCAGATATGGAATTCAAAGGTGGCTGATTGACGTTACAGCTAACTCGAGTCTCTAGCTTACAGCTAGATGTTACTCCATTGATTTCGTATATAATCTAGAAAAAGTGTCACACGTACCTAGAACCCCTATTTAATAATTCTTATAAATATTTATAAGAATATAATTATATTTCAGTTGAAGCGTTGCTTGGCTGGATCAAGATATTTCAAAATTTCTTTTGGGAAAGAAACCTCAGACTCAACAGATCCGCCATTTATAAAGCTCACTCAGCAGAAAAATGGAGGCCATTTAGAGATGACATTCCACTTCGATAAATTAAAATATATATAGAGTCAGTACGTCTATTTCCAAACACCCCCATCAAAAAATGTAGTTAGCTTGGCTGTACTGCACATTTATGCTATGATTCTATATATATTATGTGTATTATCCACTGTAGAATGCATTTGCAGAAAAAATTACGAAAAATTGTAAAAAATATCTGGGTTATTCCATTTTTACTACAAGGTATTTTAGGGGGGTAATTCCGAACAGGAGTTTTTTTGGGGGGTAAATCCGAACACTTGCATGGGGGTAATTCCAAACACTTAACCTAAACTTAATTGTTTTAATTATTAGATTGATGGTATATCATTATATGATACCCTTAACTTATGATACTGGATCCTGTCACCCCTGCATATCAAGAAACCCAAATTTAAATCATTTATTACTGACATCTATTTATTTAAACTCACAGAGTTTGTGGGGGTAATTCCAAACACTAGCATGGGGGTAATTCCGAACACCTAAATCATCATAATTGATTATTTTATTGTAAGATTGTTGGTATACATCATTATATTGTATCTTTCAGGCTATAAATATTATGTAGAGGTAGTAGAGGTACTATTATTCAATTCAATGATCTGCTTGCCATTATTTGGAACCCGTTCGTGTTTACCCCCCTGTTTGGATTTGGACGTATTGACTCTAACAATCGATCAGAATGGGGACATAAGCTGATATTCTGCAAATGTGTTCATAAAGGTATGTTTCATAAAACTGTGCCATGACAACTGTGCGTGTGTTACAATCACTCAAAGCCGGGATATAGAGAAGGCTTTGGACCTAAGTAAGTTACAAACATCTGACAGAGCAGAATGACAACTAAAAATTGACAAGTGTACAATTTTATCACTTCCGGAAAAATATCATGGACAAAAAGTCTCATTTGCAGCTCACCTGGTCCAAAAATATGTGTCTATTTTGAAGAGCGTTATTTCTCATCAGTATGTAAACCTCCGTCAAACTTCTAGTTGCCATTTTGAAGACTAAAAATGATACAAATATGTGAAATTATGAAGAATTTTATGTGTTCATGTTTTTAAAACAACGGGATAATCCATATTTCAAACTGCACGTGGATTAGAAAATGTATACAATATTCCACCAAAACTTACAAGTTTTCCAACCACTTAATTTAAATTTGCCTCGAATATATATTTTAATGCAAATATAAAATTGGTGTGTTGACAAAATACCAAATAATCAAAAGGTAAAACTGTTTCAGTTTATTTAATTCTGAATAAGTTGGATATTTAGACTAACTGATCACGTGGCTTGGTTCATAACGAGGCTATCTGAAAATTCGCCATTTTCACTTATTTTTTAAATATTTCCACCTTTGACACATTTTCTAGAGCAAACTGTTACAATGTCGAAACCTGAACAAGTGCTGAACATAGATCCGCCAGTAGAGCTTAACTTTAAAGGTTAGTATCCATTAATCTTGACTCAATGCTCACAAGTGAAGCATTTCAATTTCACCATCCCCTCAAATTTTGTAATTTTTTGAAAAATCAAGAAATCCTCCCAGTCATTGAATAAATGTGGATCTGTATCTGCTATGTAATGTTATCTCGCATACTTTTATGTGCTTCTCACGTCTGTACCAATCATGTCTCCAAGCATCAAATTCAGAACATTGTGTTTATGTCCTGATGGACAGTACAGTTGGGGACAAAAATAAATGACAGGTCGATTTTCGATCACCATTTCCTAATTATGGTGGTCTGAAAGCCCATAATTTCAAATATTGTCTAGATACATATCCCTTAAAATTTGTATATCTTACATTTTGTATAATCTCATCCACTGATTTATGGCCTCTTGTAAATTCTCTTATTTTTAACATCGGAAATCCTCACTTCAGCAAATCCACCTGTCATTTATTTATGTCCCCAACTGTAAAAGCCAGGGTGAGAGTAAAGTAGAAACAGTATGCGACTAGATCTAGCCTAGTCTGTCAAACAAGTTTCTAAGTCAGATATGAGAATGGGTAGTAATGTGAATAGCTAAGCCACTGGTGCACTTATAATCTAAGACACATACTGTTTATTTATGCACCCAAACTGAAAGATGTATAGTTCAGTTAGGAACAAAAATAAACGACCTCATGGATTTTCTATCACCATTTCCTAACCATGGTCCTCTGAAAGCCCATAATTTCCAATATTGTCTAGATACGTATCCCTTAAAATTTGTATATTTTACATTTTGTATAATCCCACCCACTCTTGAAAACTCTCTCATTTTTAGCATAGGAAATCCTCACTTCAGCAAATCCACATTCATGTTTATGTATACCTGGTAATATATATGCAGGGCTCTCACCAGGAAATATTTAGGTTGGGGTGGAAACATCTTCAGCATTACTGTTGAATCTTGATAAATCATATACAGTGTATGTCATGTTTTAACATTTTCACTTGCTATTATTATGTATTCAGTCAATTCTAGACTATGAAAACAATCATGATAGTCAATAGGGGTGTGGTGGTCTAAAAGCCTAGCGACAGCCCTGATGTGTATATGTGGTAAAATATGTTCATGTAGTCATTTGAATGTGATTTTTTGGTAATAAGTTGTCAAACTCTCGAACCTGGTCCCTGCTTCACATATCAGAAGTCTTTATTTTGTAACATAAAGCTACTTTCAATATCTGATTTTGACTGGAGCTTATATTTCATATTTCATATTAGCTCCTTCATATTTAGGTATTTGTTTGGCACCTATGCTCATTTTTCATGATTTTTTGTTATTTTCAAGTGAATGCAAATAGAATTTCAGGTGGGTGCAAGCCTGTTTTTAAAATTTCATTTGGGTGCTGCACCCACTTGTTTAAATGCTGGGGAGATCACTGTACATAAACAATAACATTCTTTATAATATACATATCGCAGTTCTATGCTCAATGTTGTTTAGAGCATGTCAAAGTGTTTCAAAGATTAAAGTGCAAGAATTCATAATTTGACCCGAACTAAGTCCATTTTTAAAAGTTTGTATACATTCTGATGATATCACAGATCTTGACCCTGGCAGGTGATGTATGATTGGATTATTGAGACAACACATTATCCAACTTATTGGACACCTTTCATAGTTTAATAATCGTTTGTTTTACATCAGATCTTATCTTTACTAATGTGTCCGTTATCATATTTACCCTAACGATAAGACCATGATTAGTCTTACCATTTTTCTGGGGGGGGGGGAAATGAATATGAGACCTTATTATATATTCAAATTCAAATGTTTGCTTAATACTTGAAAGTGACAGTGAAAATTAAACTTTTTAAATGAGAATTGAGAAATAAAACTAGACGTGTAAAGTTGAACAAAGAACAAAGTTCAGTTTAAGACACTAGACTCTAAACTTTTGGTTTTAAACCTGATTCCTTATAAAGGAGGTCACCTGGAAAATATATATCAGATTTGTTGTTTGGCAGTTGGTGTTTGGTGGTCTGCATCTGTAACAAATGGCAGGTGGTGACATTTTGCGTGTTAATGCCTTGTTTAATGAAATTTGTTTCGTTCAGCTAGATTAACCCGCTCTTTCTCTTGTTGGTTATTTATAAGACAACGTGTCATCGGAGTTGTCTAATTAAATTCATTCTTTATAAGATTCTTCCAAAAATGTCATGTGCTCTCTCGTCTATACTTCATTATTTCACTTAGGCCTATTCTATTATTACCATTCATGAATTGTTGCAACCACAATTGGCGTGATATTACTAAGATCATTGATGAATCATTGTCTACAATTTAATTAAATGGTCATCTCTGTAATAATTAATCAATATTGGCTAAAATGATGTTGTGAGATTAGTATAGTTAGAAATTAGTAAGGTCACTAGGAAAAACGCCATATCATATTGTGATGAAAAGTGGAAAGAAGATATTGTTTTTCATCACACTTTGAAAAAGTGACACATTAAAAATGTCACTTTTTGCTTTTCCTTTTGTAAGACTTGTCTTTGAGTTAGAGAGAATATGTCATCAGAAAATCGGTCTTTATGCAGTTTGGTATTCCCTAATCTCTTTATTCTACATTTCAAACCCGGGTTTTCAAACTCCAAAAAGAGCTTATCAGCAATAAAACTTTGATTATTCAGAGAAGAGTTTCGCTAACTGTCTGACATCTATTTTTCATATTCTAGAATGTAGGTCTACATCTTAAACTCAATATAATTGGTTAATCTAGGTCATGTGATCAAGATAAATGTACCTTTCCTGTTGAATAAGAAACCAGATTTTCCCTAATCAAAGGAAATAAATAATTAACAGATACCTTGCATAATGGCATGTTGGTAAATTGTCATAAAAGTCTGATTAGGGTAATAGAAGAAGGCGTGGATTAGGGATTAATGGTTCAAGGTAAATAATAAGCTGATTTTCTATCAGCCATGTAATATCATCAACATTCTCTTTCAAAATGCTCAATCAAATAAATTCAGTTTTTGTTCAATTTTCCAGAAAAAGATAAGCCTACTTTCTGACTTTGATCTACTTCTTTGGTAAATAGTCAGGAAATTGTGGCAAATGAAATATAGGAACGGATTCCACTTAATCGGCAATTAAGTTTGTTCTTTCTTTCCATTGAAATTATTTAATGGCCAGAGGGTTAGGTGTTGTTAACTTAGATTTTCTGTGAAGGATCAATATTGATATTTCTTCGTTTCTGGTTGGTATCTATAATTGTAGGTCTAGAGTAGACCATGGGATTAAATTACATGTTTAGTTCAATATAAATCTGTATACTGTACTGTATCTGACCACCTCTCTAATCTGAACAACTCTCAATATGAATGTATATATTTCGATTCAACTTTTTATGTCAAAGCATATTTTTATAGTCTCCAACTTGTTTTGTGGGCTGGCTTTGAGTGGTTGGTGGCTGGTGTTCGGCATTCGTTGGTCAGTGTCTGTAACAAATGGTAGGTGGTGACAATTTGCGAGTTCATGCTTTGGGTGAATCTGCTATTAGGCCTCTGCCTAAGATACTTTAGGCTGGTCCTAGTTACATTCGCATTTGACAGGATCAACTGTACAATTGGATCAACTGTACAATTTTATTTCTAGAAGGATGAGAAGAGAATGTTTCAAACGGCTTATCAGTCGTAAAACATCTGTCAAATTAGATGAAAATGTGACATTTTCCCCTTTGATGGAACTTTATGAAATTGCTTAAACTGGAAATGTTTGCAAGTGATTGTCTTAAATTCTCCCATTGAATAAAATTCAGAATAAGCCTCCATATTTTGGCGTCTTCAGTTCCTGTATTTAACAAATCAAACAAATTAAGTCATTTTCTGCTATATATATTTTTGTCTGAAATTCAAAATATATATCGATTTTTTTTCTTTATTTTTTTATAAACTAGATACTTGGTTCATTGGGTTGTGGTATTCTTAACTCCTTTGGTTTTCTAATTTTTGGAACTTATATTACAATTTCAACCCATGAGTCTGTCTCAATATTTTATCCATGGGTAATGATGTTATTCACTTCCTGTACGGCTGACTTGGGGTGGATCATCCAATTTGTATTTCGCTATGTTCCCCATTTATGTCAGAAGTTCAGATATTTAGCAAAGCATTAATGTAATTCTTGACTGGTGGATCTTCCCTTATGGTCATCATCTCCTTGTTATGTACATATCTTTATATCAAGATATATATGACCTACTATAAAGATATGTCCGATATGTCATTTGCTGTTGGCAACAGGGGATGATTTTACCATACTCTCATGTTTAAAAAATTGTGCAACTTTTCTATAATATCCATCCCATTCACCAATCCCATCCATAAATCTATCTACCCATGTTGTTGTTCGGAGAGATGTTCTCTTCGCGGAGTTGCTGTTTTTTTCAATTTTTATAGTCTCAAACTTTATTTGTGGATGGTTTTTACAATTGTTGTTTGGTGTTCACCATCTGTAACGAATGGCAGGTAGTGACATTTTTCATGTTAATGCCTTGTTAATAATTTGTCTTTTGTCAGAAATGATTGATAAAACCCTTGCGTCATTCTTATCACATCTTCCTATTTTTCATCGCAAAACTAAGAAGGAATAAGAAGATATGGTTTATCATGATGCAGGAAAACGTGGTCTTTCAGGATGTTTTCTTAGTTAGGTTTAAAATGGCTATCAAATGTGGAGCTACTTAACTGTAAAATGAAGCTTACCTCTATAGAGTTATTATTGAAAAGGTTAAGACTACTTTCCAGCTGGATGTGAGGGTGTGAGACAATATTGCCTTAATGTTTCAATAGACTATTTGCTACATGAAATTTGTTCAGAGGTTACAGTACTTTTTTTTATTATTTTTATTCTATGTGGCGTCTGTACTCAGACTATTTATCAAAAAGGGTAGAATACTTTCCAGCTGGATGTGAGGATGTGAGACAATATTGCCTTAATGTTTCAATAGACTATTTGCTACATGAAATTTGTTCAGAGGTTACAGTACTTTTTTTTATTATTTTTATTCTATGTGGCGTCTGTACTCAGACTATTTATCAAAAAGGGTAGAATACTTTCCATCTGGATGTGAGGATGTGAGGCAATATTGCCCCAATACTTCAATTAGACCACTGATCTGGATAATAAAATCATGTCTCAATTACTGCTACTGTATTTCAGTAACCATTTTTAGAAACCTTTGCTATGGCCTCAGTAATGAAATAAACTTACTCCTGCTATGATGGGTAAATCAACTTTAGATAGACTGAACTTTGAGGTTATGAATATTGGCGATAATAGATTAAATCGACCTGTTAGGGCATTTTGCTATCTTGTTTGAAACAAAAATGTTCATAATATTTTCATTTCTGGTTGTGAATATGTATAAGACTTATTTTCCTTTGAGGTTATGAATATTGCCGATAATAGACTAAATCGACCAATTAGGGCATTTTGCTAAGTTTGAAACAAAAATGTTCATAGTTTTTCAATTTCTGGTTGTGATGTATAAGACTTATTTTACTATGTAGCACTTCAAATTTGAGAAAATCACTACAAAAGGTCATATTAACCTTTTTTCCTAGAAGTAAAGAATATTCCTGACAGATTTATATTTTCTATAGTCAGACATGTCCAATTTTACTTTGATATTTTTATGCCCTTTAGTGTAATATATGAAAGGGCATAACTGTTAAGTAAATTAATCAGAAAATCTTGTTTTTCAATTAGATTTATATGTGAAACCATGTTGAATTAATCTTCATTGAAAGGGCCCTTGGATGTCAATATCAAATGAACCGTCCCAATATTTGAAAGCCAGTGTCTGAGCTGAAGTAAGCTTCAATATGTGCAATAATTAATAGGATGTGGAAGCTTCAAAGACATATAGAGCAACATTTAAAATGTGACATCGTGGGAGGTCGGTAGGATGAAAAATGAAAATAACAGTATGGAAACAAAACCCTGGACGGAAAGCGAAACGATTGTGTGTGCTCAAAAACTGTAAGTTTTTCGGCTAAGTTTGGGTATATAGTCAGAGGAAATGGAAATGTAAGTCTGAAAAATAAAGCTATCAAAGTACCATACTGCAATATTATTTGGAAAAATTCTTTCATATTTTAGATGCAAAGTGTAATTTTGGATTGAATGGTATAGCCTCTTGTGTTTTGAGAGTTCTCTGGCATGTTATTTTTGAAAAAGATTATTTATGGCTAAAACTCCCTAATTTACAAGAGGCCAAAGGTTATTAAACTGCAAATTAAATTAATTTATCAGGAAACAAAAGTTTTGTATCAGTATAGTATTGCAATTCTTTCATTGCTTATTTTTAAGGTTTAATAGAGTTTATTTTTCTGCCCTTAAAGGTAAGGTTGTCGTGCGAAATAGAATGGAATAGGGTGAAATTTCAAGGAATAAAGTAAACAGACATGTAATTAATACTCTTTACAGAGAATCAATTCATGGATTATATATATTAGGATTTTAAAATTGGTCTATGTATATTGCATATTGATACTGACAGGTCTTCTTTGCTTATATTTTGACTAGCTAACTTTATAGTAATTTGTTTTCAGTATTTTAAATGTAGAAGCACATTTTCCCAGAGAATTAGCTATTTTATTGGGATATCATATTACTGAAAATGTTGTTGAAAGCACTATTTTTCTTTTGAATCATCCCCATAGAGCCTTAGGGGTCTCAGATTAATTTTGTCACCACCAGAAGTGATGTTTGGCATTCAGAGTTTGGTGTCTGTTACAGTTTGCAATAACTTGCAAGTTGTTACACATTTTGTCATGTTAATGCTTTGTTCAAAACAACAGGTAAGTTGGGGAAAGACAACGGGCTTTTTTATTTTCTTCTATTTTCTGCTGCTAATGAAACCCTAGGGCCTTATCCTTAACAAATTTCTTACCATTTCGTCTTCGAGCTTGACTACTCAGACGTTACTCAGACGTTTATTGAATTGATGAAGATTAAAGTCTGAGATCCAGTTTCTCATTCACCCAATTTAGTAATGGTGATGAACAAATCTTTTGTCATTAATTGACATGTACCTCTTCAGTAATAGCTTAACTCATCTGAATAAGGACAATCCATGGGTCTGATGGGGTGGATCATTTTGTCCTATGGAATGTAATATTTTTCAAGAAAGTATATTATTCTTTGTCATACGTTTTTTTAATGAACAGGTACTTTTGTTAATCAGTTATGATGTGCTACTGTCACAGTACTCCAGGGGTTTTCACTACTCACATGGAATTTTCAAGGGACTTTGTTTCATTCACTTATTTTAGAAAATCCATGGGATTGGTAAGGGCTGGTAGATATTTTCTTTCTTAGGAATCAATATTTCCTATTCTGCCAAAGGATATAATAAAACAAATACTGTGTTTGAACTTTCTTTGACTGATTTGAAATTGTCGCCAAATTGAATTTTACCGTGATGAAAGTATATGAAGAGAGTAATACTCGTACTGCAAGAATGCTGATATGTATAATGATTTTTTGTGCTCTGTTATGGTTTCGATTTATGAAAGGTGTCTTCTGACCTTGTGTCATTATTTTAGTGATGTTGTACATCAATCTGCCAAATTAGATAGGCTTCAATATTATAAAAATGACTGAAAACAAAAATGGGCAGTATTTCTTTATTCTATATTGGTGAATGCATGTTGCACTTCAAATGGTCATATTTAGGAAGATGTGAAAGATGGATGGATGGAAATGTCATTTACATCAATAAAAAGAAATACTTGTAAATCCATAGTATTCCATTCCAAGGCACACACATTTGGAAATTCATGCTAATATTTCGACACATAGGCTGATAAGATTGCTAGTAATTATTATGTCACCACCAGAAGTGGTGACATATTGTTATAGTCTCCAATTTTTTGTGGTAGATTTTGGGTGGTAGGTGTTCAGTGGTTGGTGTTCAACAGCGTAATCCAAACACCTCTTGGACCTGTCAAAAGTGTTGGGACTAGAAGATGTTCATATATCAAGGTTTTATAAACATGTTAGTCAATGAGAGGAAAAGGTGTTCACATTGAGAGGTGTTTAGATTAGAGAGGTGTTAGGATATGGAGGTATCACTGTACTTTTCAAATCTCTGCATTGATCAGAGCGTGGTCCACTTGAATAAAACTGAAATAGTAGTATCCTTTGCTCCAGCTGCTCTTGCTTTCTAAATCACATCTGATTAGAAAAAATTGCTTTGATACGCGAAAATGAAATTAGGCCCCAATTTTCAGAAAAAATGCTTTGGGAATAAAAAGGTTAGCTCACAAGATTTTGTGGTTCACTTTTTATTTGACTTCCACCATTTCAGTTATCATCTTCACCTGAATTATAAATAAACAGACATTTTCTATTGTTAACAAGCCAATTTTCTTGATACTTTGGAATTAGAAAAGTTTGAATCAGCTGGTGTATTTCAGGGGTCATCACGACTTTCCCAAATTGTTAAAACTTGTTTATTGACTATGCCTTTAAGATTCACTATTCACTTTGAGGTAAATATTTAGTCTCAAAAATATTTCAATAGATATACAGTTATGTATTTGCTTAATATATTTTCAGGGCCTTTTACTGATACAGTGACGGCTGAATTGAAGTTAAAGAATCCTTCGGAGAAGCGAGTATGTTTCAAAGTGAAGACCACAGCCCCCAAACGCTACTGCGTACGGCCAAACAGTGGTATCATAGAGCCAGATACAGAAGTGACAGTTTCAGGTGAAGACAATTTGGGCATTAAGGCATGGTGTACAAGTATCTACTTAACCTAATTTTCTTAGGTGGAGGTTTTTTCTAGAGTGTTGATTTTTTAAAAATATTCAAGTGAATGACTAATCAACATCTCAAATTTCGTTAGATGAGGGAAGAGGGTCAAACCATGTCAAAAGTTGATAGTTGGACACCAAGGATGTTAAGGCGATGTGTATTTAAAAAGGTATGATAATGTCGTCATCTTGGTGATTGGTGACAGGCTGATGTCAGCATTTTACTTATCTTTCCTGAAATGTTACTTGGTATGATGGAACTGATTCGATGGCCTTTTTTGATTTAGGTACAATATTGTTCTCTTTGTGCCTTGTTCCTGCGAGTGAATCTCAGTGTGTGGCCAGTAAGCACAGTTAAACATTGAATTTAACATAAAGGCACCATGTCATATTATGGGCATCTCGTCAATTCATAAACGCAATGTCATTTCAGTGTTCTTTAACTATGGTCCTTTGTTTATAAAATATTTTTAAAAAGAACATATATGACATATATTTTGACCAAACTTTAACTGTTCCATTCACCATAAAAGTGGAAATTGATACATTTTCCTTTCTACTTTTTTTCTTAATATTTGATGGGATGGTAGTCTGGGGTTATCTCGACTGCTTAAATGCTAACATAAAATGCTGAATCCACATTATTAATGTTTAAGAGAAGTATAACGGCATTCAGAGCAATCAATAACAGTAGATAGAATTGAGATTTCGCTTCTTTGGTCCAAAATGAAAGTTCGATTAAAAAAGAAAAAATAGACGTAGAAGAGTTCGGTAGTTATATAAAAATTTGCCAGAAAATTCTTGTCGGTCAATCAAATTTTAGAGAAAAATGAAGAAGAAATGAGTGAATAGTCAAAGTGAGATTTTGAGCACGAGCTACAGAGTGATATAGGTGAAATAAATGTCTGGGGTGATCGGTTCTATTCATATTTTATTGAGCCTATTTGTAAATCAAAGTACTTATTCTTCGATCTATTCTAAGTGATAGTATCTTTGGATTTAATTGGTATTAATTCAGTATTTTATGTTTATGAAATTGGAGAGTGACATTAACAAATAATTTCACATCAATTCAAATTCTGATAAAGATAGGAATACGCTTGATAATTGGTGTACAGTAAATAGTTAAAGTCGCGTTATTGACGCATAGGGTCTCAAATAATAGTGTTGACTCCAGTGTCCATATAGGTTGTGACTTGCTATGTTCTGAGCCATTCTAATGAAAGTAATTACAAAATTTCAGATTTGAACAGAAAATATACCATGTCGGCCTTAAAGAGAAATCGAGCCGTTTATTCTATTTTTTTAAAGAATAGCAACAATATAATCTAAACTAGATGAAGCATTAATTAAATCATCAATAGACTGTTTTTGAAGTGAATTCAAGCAATTTTCTTCAAATTTTTTTTTGCAAAAATAAAGACACCAAAAAACATATTTTTTCGTTGACTCTTTGCTTAATTTTTCATAATCATGTCGACTCTAGTTTTCTCCACGACTTAAAGCATTACTTGATATGGCAGACAACAATCTGTTGAAATAAAGGTCACCTTGACAACTTGCAATATGTTTTTCAATTTGTCAAAATGACACATTCAATTTTAGATCTAAGACATCAATCTCTTCAAAATCAAATATTTGTTTTCTAAATCAATCAAACAATCCGATCCAGCAATCACTTACCCTAAGGTTAAAAGTCTAGTATTACGTGTATATTGTAGCCTCTGAATAAAACAAATAAATATGGTTTTGAATGAAAGTAAAACTTTTGTATATTGAACTTTTTTTTGCCAAGAAAAAACATTCAGTGTTGGTAGGTGTTCACAACAGAGAGGGTAATTTATACAGAAGTCAGTAGAGTATGTGTAGAAAGAGGGTGTCCACTAGAGACAGGTGTTCACTAAGACAAGTTCTACTTTATATTAAATAACACTCGAATAATAGGTTAATGTGCATAACATTTTTTTGCCAAGAAAAAATGGTCAGTATTGGTAGGTGTTCACTACAGAGAGGGTAGTTTATACAGAAGTCAGTAGAGTGTGTTGGAGGAATGGTGTCCATGAGAGACAGATGATCACTGGGGAGAGGTGTTCACTAAGACAGGTTTTTTGTAACTGTCACTTTAGCCTTGATGTGAATTTCAATTTGTGACCAAAATTGACTGCTACTTAAAGAGATAACATACACTTGTGATCAAGTATTACAATTACATGAAGGAGTGATCTGAATCACATCCTGGATGAGATTCAATTAGAAAAATGTTTTTATTTGTACCTGAGCTTTTGTCGGAATAAATGGAGGTGGTGTGAAAAAAAGCTGAAATGTTTAGTAAAACCTGTCTTAGTGAACACCTGTCTCTAGTAGACACTTTTCCTCCAAACATATACTACTAACTTCTGTATAAATTACCCTCTCTGTAGTGAACACCTACCAATACTGAACATTTTTTTCTTGGCAAAAAATGTTATGTACATTAACCCATTTTTCCGAACAATCCCTCTAACGAACGATCCCTCTAAATCTTCTCAGACTGTCTATATTATTTTGTTTTCCAAGACATGACAGACCATCGTGATATTAAATCTACGCACATAGAACCTATTGAGATGATGGGAAATTGATTTCCGGTAATATCCTAGGCATTGAAAACAGGTCATTGCCATAGATTTATCATCCTTTGATATAACACAAAATTGAAATCACATTTGTGTGTCAAGAAAACATCCTTCTTATTTGTCAGCAGTGGTTTTCTTGCCTTGTAGTATTCATTAAAACTTGATTGGATATTTCTGCCAATAAAGATATATGAAGTCCTAGACTTATTATTTATTTGCTTTAAATGCTGCACTAACTAATACTGTAGATTTTTTCGTCTGAGGTGAAATAATACCTGACAAAATTATGATGCATCATAATTCTTATATTTGATTTTTTAGAGTCATTTTCTTTTTTGGGATTCTTTTTATACCTTGATAGACACCCCTCAGCTGAAAACTGTTGTGATTTAATATTTTTATTTTCTCTATTTTCAGTAATGCTTCAACCATTTGACTATGATCCTAATGAAAAGAATAAACACAAATTCATGGTTCAGACAATGTTTGCTCCCGATGGTGCTTCGGAAAATACAGATAGCTTGGTAAGTCAAAACCTTTTATCATGTAGTATAGCACAGTTCAGTGTTCTTCGCAGGATTTTTTTTCTCAAGTCGGTGCAAAATTCTCATTTTCACAATTCAGACCAAAATTGGCCAAAATATGCCAATTTTTCATGTTTTTTTTTTTCAAGTGGGTGCATATAGATTGCTGCGCCCATTTGCTTTAATGCTTGGGAGATCACTGCAGTTACCACAATGTATTGGAACAACAATTTAAGCTGTATAAATATGCACACAATGATCCTGACAACATCAATTGAGTAAGTGGGCGCAGCACCCACCTGAGATTTTGAAAATAGACTTGCACCCACCTGAAAATCCATTTGCACCCACTTGAAAATGAAAAGATGGGCATAATTTGACAAATTTTTGTCTGAATTGTGAAAATGAGAATTGCACCTACTTACAAACACATGGAACACCTTTGTAACCATAAAATAGTGTTCTACTTGAGTAACTTAACTTTTAAAGGTGTTCCGCTAACAGAAGAGTTCCAATTTACAGGTTTAACTGTAAACAGATACTCGCCAGGAATGTCCCTAACCAGGAATGATCAAATGTTCACCAGAATTTTTATAGACTGATGTCCATAACAAAAATCTTGATAGAATTTTAAAAATTAAATCCTGTATATTCCGGGTGAAATCCCACTATATGTGTATTCATTTAATATATTTCATTTTTATACACCAAAGTGCTATAATAAGATTTCGAGCGATACTAAGTTTCTGTAGAGTAAATGTGAAATTTGATATAAATAAGCTTGGTATTTCCAGATAATAAATATGTGTAACTAAAAACTGAACATAACTCAAGATATGTTTTATGTTTTAGTGGAAAGAGGCAACTCCAGATCAGCTTATGGATTCCAAATTAAAATGTGTATTTGAACCTCCTGCAGAGTCTGCACAGGTATGTATCAAAGCATGATAGATTAAGAAACTAATCTAACTAATAAGTAACTACAAACTAGGAGAAAACATGGATAAAATAAACTTTAAAAATAAAGTAGCAAAAATGAAGGACTTCAATTGTAAGTCAAGAAATATTTTAGTGTTAATGAATGAAAGTCTCATATAAGGGATCGAGTCGGGCAGAGATGTCTCAAATTGTCTTAAAATGTAATCAAATAGATTTCAGCAGATCTGATTGTCTATCCATGTAACAGTACATCACAATTGATGTTGAACTGAAGAATCAATCTACGCCCACTTAAATCATTCCCTTGTAGGGGGTACTAATCAATTTTCTTGCCTACATGCTGGCTGATCTGTCACTTTAAGTGTGCCATCAGTTCTCTTAAGCTTTATTCATAATAATACTTACAAGTGACCTTTTCCATTTAACAAGATTTCTGTAACATTCAAGATTTAAGGGAAAATCTAATGCTGTATAAATATATGTGATTTTACAATATGAATATTTGATTATTTGACAACATTCTGTAATGAGACAACAAACTTCATCTTTACTTCTTGCATCGTTTATGATTTTTAATAACAAGAAATTTCTGATTTCAGAATAACTTAGATGCCAATATTAGTACAGATGACAATGTCAGACCAGCATACACAAAGGGCTCTGTATCACCTGAAAAAACTGCATCACCAAAGGTAAAACTATAGACCTATGTGAAAATTATGTAAGAATTGATTTAATGCAGAATAGCTAGGTTTATTATGTCACCACCACACATGGTGGCGGTTGGTGTTTTTTGTTCAATGTCAGTAACAAATGGCAGGTGGTGACATTTTGCATGTTAATGCCTTGTCACATTGCTGGACTTGTCACTTTATGATTAGGTCATATCAGGTTTAGATTAATCAGATTTGTGACCTCCTTATATTTTTCATTATGGAAGCAAAATATTTAGAATAGAATTAAAGCATGTACGAATTATAACAAATACGTGCAAGATTTTGTTTGGAAAAGATTTTGCTGTTTTATTTGATTGGTTTTTCAAATAGTTTATCGATAAAATATGCTGACATATACATTTATTAGTAAGATGTTGATGAAATAAATAAAACATAAAAAGTAGAAATATCATATCTTTTTTTCTAAATCACTTTACTAAATGTCTTAGTTGATCTTTTGACGTTTTGAAATGTTATGTTCCAGGCAAATAATTTGGAGTCTGAGCTTAGGAAACAGGCTGATGAGACACAAAGGCTACAGCGAGAAATCAACTTGTTAAGGACAGAAAATTCATCTCTTAAGGTAACCATGGTGACTGTCTTGGTAATGTCAACAAAGGGTATTTCTTAAAATATAAGCTCGAGATTCTTCTTGAATTTTCAGGCAATTTGATAGTAAATATATAAATTGTGGATCATATGATCATATTTAATGTATTACTTGTGTATAGACACCTTTTTCACATTGACATTTTCTGAAGACCAAATATCACTGGGAGATATCGTAAGATATTTTTTGTCATGTGAGTTGTATTAAGCCAATTAGAAAATAGATCTTTGAGAAACATGTCGATAATCGAAAATGTTGTTTTGCAGGATGAAGGTGTGCGTCTTCGCAAAGTAGCAATGTCGGACACCGTATCATCAACGCCCCCTGCCCCTACCCGACAAATTGTACAGCAGCAACAAACAAGCAACAGCTTCCCTCCAGTCATTTACCTAATAGCTGCGCTTCTACTGGGAATCATCATTGGACGATTTATCCTATAGACTCGCCCCTGTGTGTGTGTTGGACCTGCAAAACCTGTACAAATATTAAGAAATCACATGTACATGATAAATTACATGTAAATGATCAGTTCGCGCCTCGGATAAAATCTCATTAGGGTCATGCTTATTTCATGCTATTTTTCTCTAAATTTTGAATAAACCACTGAATTTTTGTCAGGTTTCCATACAATTTGGGGTGTTGGCTACATGTCTGTGTACATTATTCCTTGCTTTTTCCAGAATTTTTCACAGAATTTTGCGTTTTGGAACATGACCATGATGAATTTTTATCCATTTGGCTGGCTATAAATACCTGTTTTAAGCATACTGTAAGTCCTTGTGTACAGTAAATTATGACGTGTTAAGTTAACAGTTTAAAGCTGGTTTTGTGATGTCATAGTGTGTTACATAATTTCTATAATCATATTATCGCAATATCTCTGCGAAGTTATCTAGCTCACACGATTCGATAAAACTTGGTTGGGAACTTTCGAATCGTAATATTTAGTAAAAAACTGCACCTATTTACTAGTAACATTGTCAATTTATATTCAAACATGTTCTAATGCCTTAGAGCATGACCCATGAGTCAGTGATAATAGTCTTGCGTAAATCCCTTGTAAAGTTTATGGGAGAGAGACTAGATGCAAGACTATCCATGATGTATTAAATATTAGTAGGGCAGTGTATCAAAGATGTGTTTCAAAGATTGCCAACATGAATTGCAATATAAGTACAACTCCTCGTGTAAATGTATCCCCCTTATACAACTCCCTTTTCCTGAACTGAGGATAGAGAACAATTAAAGCTGGGTGTGTCTAAAGGATTCAGATTTACTGGGCTTTTCAAAGACATGCTAAAATGATTCTAAACTTAATGTGGCCCTGTGCCTATTTCCGGTCCTAGATTAAGTCAGATTTGTGAAAATCAAAATGTTGAAAATTTTAGAAATTTAGTTTATTACAGAGATAAGGCCTTTAAATGTAGTATTCGTTGAATACCCTTCCAACGTACTAGTGATAGTCTCACACCCTGATAAGGGGTATCTAAGAGAGAAATGGGGGTGTGTAGTCGGGGGAAGGTTGTTCTCTGTATAATGAAGGTCTAGGACAATTATAGATAGAAAGAGCATATTATACAATGGAGATGTAGTGAGTGCTTTAATTTATTAATAAATACATGTATGGTATGATGTTAGTACATGAACTTTAGTGACTTCAACAAAGTACAGATCGTAGATATAACTTAAAACAATAACTAGATAGGTAGATTTCAATCTTCAATTGTTGCTGTGGTGTATATGAATACACAAAAGCTTAAGGTTGTGCGAAAGGTAAAATTTTAAGCGTGTTCGTCAGCGTTTTTTCTTAAGTGTAAATGCTATATGCAGATATTGAGGTAAAACTTCAATGAAGTATATACAGATAGCAGATACTGTATGTGAATACTGATGTGGTAAGGCTTTTCATGTTACCAGTTTATTACTTGTAAGGAACATTTTCAGAGTATAACTCACTTGTGTGGAACATTTTCAGTATGTTACTCACTTGTGAGAAACATTTTCAGAGTATTTCTCACTTGTGAGGAACATTTTCAGTGTGTAACTCACCTGTGAGGAACATTTTCAGTGTGTAACTCACCTGTGAGGAACATTTTCAGTGTGTAACTCACCTGTGAGGAACATTTTCAGAGTATAGCTCACCTGTGAGGAACATTTTCAGTATGTAACTCACTTGTTAGGAACATTTTCCGTATGTAACTCACTTGTGTCTTTTATGTGTGATTTTGTCCCACCAAAGTACCACTAGACTACCCTAATGTAATTTTCCTAGTTGTGAATTGAGATTCTGCTGGAGTTTTGAACTTTTAATATTTCTGCTGCCTTCTCATACCATTTAGAATGTTGTCAATACTGTATATGTTTGTTAAAATTTTTCTTGCTAATTCCACTCTTACACTCATTTTTTGCACTCATTTTATAAACATAGCTACCATGACATTTGACGAAGTGTCATGCAGCTCTATACTACTGATTAAAACAAACCTTTGAAATTTTTCATAGAACAATCCTACATACCATGGGTATGACAAACAGTCATTTTATTATGCATATTTAATTAGTTTAAAATCTATATCATGAAATCATTTGAAAATATTTTGTGTGCATAATGTAGAATCTAATGTACTCACTTAATAGTCACTTTCATGAAGATCTGTACTCTAAAAATCAATCTTGATCAAGTGCAATTTGTGCTTAGTTTAAGGGGTCTAAAAATGGTAGATAGACCCCTTGTACTGTATGTAAAAACATTAAGTTGAGAAAGGATGTGTAATTATTATTTCATTTTAATATCCAAGTTACCAAAATATGTTCACAATTTGTTAATAGTGTAGTTGAAAGTTGCTCGTATAAAAAATGTAAGATTTTCGATATCATTATGGTATAATAAAAACTATATACATCTCTGAGAAATATAAATGAAAGATTGTTAGTTCTTAAAGTGTGCGCCAAAGTTTAAAACTGCGCAGGCGTTTCACCATTGAAATTGAAAATTACTATTAGATATACTTTGTAGATGTTATTTATGAAGCTATTTAGTGTTTGCATCAATCAAATGGCTCATTTTGAACATATAAAAAGTATTTGTGTTTTGTTTCCAAGGGAATTGTATTGTATGTAGCACACACATAAATAGTGTACATTATACAGTACTTGAATAGCCTGGTTTACATAATATTGAAGGGCATGCTGATTACATGCACACGAGTACATGAATGAAGGCCTAATATTGATATACGTAGCGTGCATACCTAAATAAAAAATAAACTCTTCTAATCCCCTAATGTAAACACGGCGGTATACGTAGCCCGATTTATCGGGGACTTTAAGATTAATTATTTGAAGTATAATGATATAAGAGGTGCCTCAAAAAATGAATCACTTTTTGGTTTTGGCTTTAGAGGGGGGGCAGGACTTATTTGACTCCTTGAATGTATTTCTTGAGACTCCGGAACACATGGAACCTCAGTATAGTACAATTGATACACCAGGATACTGCTTGAACCTCAATACAATCGATACTCCAGGATACTTGAAACTAGGTTCAATTGATACTCCAGGAAACCTGAATCCCTGTACAATTGATACTATGATACTTTGACGTTTCCAGGTTACTTGAACCTCAGTATAATTGATCCTGCAGGGTATACCTCAATACAATTGATACTATAGGATACTTGAACCTCGGTATAATTGATACTACTCTGGGGCCTTGCCCCAAGTCAGTATTTTTTATCTGATCTTGAATTATTACCATGAAATCAAGATAATTAAAAGAGACCGATTTGGGCAAGGCTAGGATATTTAAAACCTCCGTACAATTGATACTATAGAATAAACCTTAGTACAATTGATACTCCAGAATACTTGAAACCTCTACAATTGCTACTATAGGATACTTGAATTTCAGATATTATTTATTTGATACTCTAGGATACTTGAATCTCAATACAGTTGATACTCTGGGATAAACCTCAGTACAATTGAGGATACTTGAACCTTAGTTACAATTGATATTCCAGGATACTTGAAACCTCAGAAATAATTTACACGCTGAGAAACCTCAATACCTTAAGGGACCTGAGTACAATCAATGCAACAGGGCACTTAGGACACAACAGGTTTTAAATTATTTTATATTCAAATATTATCGCTGTTAAATTATACATCTGCTTTATATGGGCTTATCAGCCTTTTGCAGATTATTGACATAGACATAGACTTGATACTTCTCTTGTTTTATTCAATACTCAATGACTAGCCTAGTTTGTATCCAACAGACTGACTCTTCCTAGGATTCAGTCTACATGTTTTCAGTCAATTTTCAATAAATTCAGAACTTTACGATGTTGTACAACGCAATGCATATCTTTATTCTATAAAATGAAATCTTCTTCTTCTTAGTCCTTTTCAGTGTTCCTTATAAGGTGTTCCGGGATCACTTTGGCATTATTATGCTGCCTTTGATCACTTGTTGCTGTTTTTAAAACTCATGTACTAAAAATATCACTTGTACTTTTCACTTGTGCTTATTTTACTTCTGTTGGGAGAGAGAGCGCTAAAACTTGTTATCTAACATAGTCTAAAATGCAAGTGTTTTTCCATTAAAATGAGATGTTAAAATAGAGTCACTATCTCACTCGAGTTAAAAATAAGTTATTAAAATCTCTTGGATTTCTGTATAAATGCCTGCAGGCATTTCATAATTTCTTTATTTAACTTATGGTCCAGGCTTGTGTTGAGTCCTGTGATTGTTTGTAGGTCTAGAGCTGGATTGTATTTAGCTCCTAGTAGTATCTGTTGCACTTTGGCCAATAGAATCTCCCTCTCTTCCTGGAACTTAGAGCAAGCAAAGATGTAATGTTCAACTGTCTCTGGTATGTTACAGTGGTCACAGTTGGGAGATAAAATATCGGGGTTAATTCTATGGTGATGGCCATGTAAACGGGTGTGCCCAGAAATAATTTGGTTACATATATTTCTATAATACCTAGTTCCTGTCTTTACAATTGGACTTTTCAATTTAACCTTAGGAATTAATTCCTGAACAAAGTTCACCTTGGTGGAGTTGTTATACCTATTTTGCCATTTCTCTAAAGCGTTACATTTGATATTATTATAAGCTACAGACTTAGATGTTTTACAGTCAGTGAGAGATTTGGCTGCCAATGCTGCTTTCTTGGCAGTTTTATCCGCAACTTCATTCCCTTCTGTCCCTTGGTGACCTGGGACCCAGTAGACTTCTAAGGTTTTGTTCTGTAAAGATAGCAGTTTGCAGGCTTTCCTTGTGTCAATAATGTCCTCTGTGATGCTTTTACACTTGGTAGTAATAAAAGATGCTGTTATAGCGGGTTGGCAGTCTGACAAGAGCAGGATGTTGCTGCTAGTCTTTATGGTTGTCAGATATTCTACCGCCATCTTTATTGCTACCACTTCCCCATAATAGTTGTTACCTATGAGGGAGACTGGTTGCTCAAGACATATAGGTGTAGATTTAAGTCCACCCACATAAACCACTGCAGCAGCTCCCGAAGGACCAGGATTACCATAGGCTGACCCGTCTGTGAAGACTATAGTCCTACCGTCCGGCTGTTCACTAAGCACTGAGCTTATTCGAACACTTTGGGCGGACTTTGTGTTGGCAAAATCTTCGTTATGGATGGTTGCCTTCGTAGGTTGGAAGATGTCTACATCCTGGTGATGGTAATAGTGCTGTATATAATTGTTAGGTTGTGTGGGGCAT